TTTCTCCTTTCATCGAGCCTAACTTCTACTCATTTTTCAGATCCACTCTGATATATTAGTTTCTTGATCACCACCCCTCCCCATACCTAGATAAGGCGTGATGCCTCTGTTACAGCCTTTCATAATGTCCTATTTGTTTTTTTCTTGTTGTTTAATAGCATTCATACAAAAAATTCGTTATTTGTATAATTATTTGTTTAATGCCTATTTGTCTTCTATTACATCATTAGTAGAGATTAGCACAAGATTCTAATCTTTGGTAGAAGCCAAATAATTAAATTTTTTAGAACTATTTATAAAATAAAAGTAAATAGGCTACAACAGTGGACCTCAGGGATTCTCCTTTGAGTACAGCCTCATTGACTTCGGTAAATTTGTGGCATATTTAAGCTCTCCCTCAAAGATCTTCGTTTACTTTTTGGTTCTTGGCTTAGTTAAAAATAGGTCAGTTGATGGAGCCAGCCCCGGTGGCCTAGTGGTTAAGTTCAGCGCACTCCACTTTGGCAGCCCAGGTTCAGTTCCCGGGTACAGACCTACATTGCTCTGTTAACAAGTATGCTGCGCTGTGCTGGCGGCCATCATACCAAAAATAGAGGAAGACTGGCATGGATGTGAGCTCAGACAGAATCTTCCTCAGGAAAAAAAAAATAGGTCGGGTTGCTAGACAGTAGACCTCTGGAATGGTGCTACCATATTCTTATTCCTTTTAAAAAAGACATTACATGAGCTCTAAAAATTACTTTCCCCATGTGTGGAGGGTTGCCAAACGCAAAAAAATATATATGTACGTGTACATATCATCCTGTCCCACATGTAACCGCCATAAGCATAATTTCTGTATCCGGTAAGCAGATCTTACCTTAACAGTTCATTCCTTTGCTGTATTAGCTGTTCATTTTGCTGCTTTAACTTAGAAATTTCCTTTTCTAGCCATATATATTCACTTTTCAAAATAAGAGCCTTTGTGCTCTGTACAATGCCGCTGCCACCCCCACAGGTTAAGGGTTTCTTTGAAGGCTGAGAATCAACATGTTCTGATATCACTGTGGGAGGCAAATACACAGAGGGGTGGTAATCTTAATTCTCTCCAAAGTTCAAAATGAAGGAAACATTACTAAGTTCAATAAGTCACTATAAAAACCAAAACATATCAAGCAGCAGCTCCCTGGATGTCATCCTTGACTTCCTCCTCATCCCTTACCTCCTATGCCTATTCAAGCATCGATTATAAATATCTCCAGAATCCCCCTGCTTCTCTCCACTCACCAACTCTACCACTGTAATCTGCTAGGATCTTTCCCCGTGATGGCAGCGTGAGAGCTGTCCCTCACTGT